CCCAGGGGGACAGCTTGAGGCTCTGTCTCAAAAAAAAAAGAAAATCATGAGTTATCAAATGTCAACCAAGACGGCAAGCTTTGGCAATTTATAGCCTGCCACCTGGTAGACTAGTATACAGCTGTTCAGACAGAGAAACATGGGGAGACTTTCAGGACACGATGTTAAGTGGAAGAGTTAAACACGTGGTATCCACGCCTGACATTCACGCAGGGGCATGAGGACAGAAATGTACTATGCACAACTGGTATCTCTAGGAGTAACTTTCTTCTCTTGCTCTGGAATGTTTACTTATTGTATTTACTTCAGGGGGAGAATAAAGCGCCCAGTAAGTTCCAGTCCGTGGGAGTGCAAGTCGAGGAGGAGAAGTGGTGAGTCCACACACATGCGTCCTCTCCGTCCTGACGCTGGCGTGTATGGTAACAGTATTTTCCATAATATAAACCTACAAGATTCAGTGATATTTTCCACTAACCTTTAGGCACAGGGTGAGCTTGAATCAGTATGAGCTGGTTCTCTCCTACGCTTTAATCCTGGAGACCACCCCAAGTTTTAGCTGAAGTCGTGCTATGAGCACATCACATACACACAGGCACTTGGGTTGCCGAATTATTCCTCTTAAAAAATAAAAACTTATCATTTTAGAATGTAGCCTCTTTATGAGGAGAGGATTTACCTTATTTCTCTTTTTATTCCCAGAACTTAATAGTGGATGGGATTTAGTATGTGCTCCGTGAGCGACGAATGGATGAATAAGGAGGGAAATTAGAAGCCTTGACAATATAGTGAGACACCATTACTAAAGAAAAAGAAATGCTCAGGGCGGCGCCTGTGGCTCAAGGAGTAGGGCACCGGCCCCATATGCCGGAGGTAGTGGATTCAAACCCAGCTCTGGCCAAAAAAAAATATGCAAAAAAAAAAATGCTCAGAGAAAAGAAGCCCTTCCCAAACCATAAAGGCTAAACATGACTGCATGATAAGATCATCTACAGTGAGGAAGGAAAGACAGTGGAGAGAAAGTAGCAGAATATATGACAGAGACAGGATTTAGGATCAAAATACATAAAAAGATTCTATTAATAAGAAAATAAGAAAAAGCTCAATGGGGTGTGGAGGAACTGGTAAAAGATGTGAAGAGTTACTTTGCAAATAGATGCATAGAAGGTCAATACAAATTCTTTTTTTTTTTTTGAGATGGAGCCTCAAGCTGTCCCCCTGGGTAGAGTGCCGTGGCATCACAGCTCACAGCAACCTCCAACTCCTGGGCTC